ACAGGAGCTGATGATCCATGTTGCCCTCTCCCTAATTTTATCACTCGCGAGGAGAGAGTAACAGAATCTGGACAGTGTATGCCAGGCTCTTGCTTCATTACAAGATGAAACACCGTGTGCTTTTTCATTTATCCACATACAACTATACTTCTGAGAGAAACAACTGGATATAAAATGTGCTTTTTAACATACCCTTCCTTTTCTTCCGAAAAATCAAGGCAGACCATTTTGTCATGTCACAGACCATTCCATCATAACATCAGCCAAGTCAAAGGTCAACTTAAGTAAAACTTATTTGTTTACTGACATGAAGGCTTTACACCCTGACACATTGCTAACATAAATAAATAAATTCAGATTGTTAATTACACAAGATTCGGTCTTTTGAGCAGCCAATAAATTTTTGTTGTTAACCAGATTGTAGCAGATAAAAATGCAAGTATTTATATACTTAGCTAATCCTTGGGTTAATCCCAAATTGAAATAGGTTTGTAAAATATGTAGAATCAATTGCCTCCTGCACATGCCTGCTCTCTCCATGGACTATGGGGAGACCCTACATATGCAGTTTAGGTGAATTACTTAATTTTTAGATGGCTGAAGTCGAAGTTATTCCCACACTAATCTATGCATATTTCCAACTGGTCAAGGGAAATCTGTGGAGTTCAAGAGTTTTCAGTGAAATCCAATGTTTCCAGAATAACATTTGCTGGAATTACTGGCTATAAACAGTTGTTAGATTAAATACATTAAATTGGTTTTCATAACCAGTAGCAATAATGGTATATTATTTGACCAGCTTTGCAACTAGACACATTTAGCAAACACCTTTCTTTGTAACAACATTTTCTATTTTTCATCATTATCTAGTTCTTTGTCTTCTTTTCCCAGTAGCTCCTTGCCCATTTTGGTGTTAGTCTTCCTTACGTATAACCCTGGGCAAGGTCTTTCTGCCTCAGTTGCTGATTCCTGTACAGCAGCACCAGAGTCACGCTGCCTTTTTTGGCAAACTGTCTGATCTCAGTTTAAACAGTCCAGTAAAGCTTGTTCAGGACACTTCAGTAACTACCTCACTTTTAAAGCTCTTTGCCTTATTTCAGTGTCAAATGTAGACAGATGCAAGAGGGTTATGCCTTGGGAAAACATATTTAAGAAAGGCTAAAAACATCACACAACAGTGTGAGGAGTGAGGGAAAAAAGGTGAGAGTAGCAATGCTGTAGACATCAAGGACAGAAAAGAAGGGGGGAAGGAGGTGCCAGAGTAGAAATTCTCCTGCAGCCCATGGGACAGACCATGGTGGAGTAGGTATTTCCTGTGGAGAACTGGAGTAAGTGGAGACGCCGAGAAGTAAACTGCAGCATGTAGAGGACCCATGTTGAAGCAATCTTATCCTGAAGGACTGCAGCTTGTGGGAAAGAACCACACTGGAGAAAGGAAAGAGCATGAGGAAGGAGAGGCAAAGTGGTGTGAACTGACCACAACCCCCATTCCTTATCCCCCTGCAGTACTTGGGGGAAAGGGGGAGGTAGAAGAGTCGGGAGTGAAGCTGAGCCCGGGAAGAAGGGGAGGTAGGGGGAAACATAAAGGCACTTAGGCAGGGAAATCTTTTGGAATAAATCAAAATAGCTTTTAGAAAGTTCTTGTGGGAGAAGAAATGGCAATGGAAGAAACCACCATTTATATTATAGTGGGTGGGAACCCACAAAACTAAATTATTTATGGCATGAGAGTACTCAATAGAAACATGATTCTGGGGCAAATGTGACTCTACTTATGCCATGGAATACTTTCACTTCAGTGGGATAAAAGGAAGAAAATTGGACACTCTTCCCAGCAGAGGCAGGAATTAAAGAGAAAGGCCAAGAATAAATATATTTCTGTTCTAAAGAACATGCATTGGTCTCCTGTTGATGTGCAGTGTTCATTTTATTTAAGAATAATATACAAGTTACTGTAGTACATCAATGCTCAGTTACTATAAGATTTTGCACTACTTTCATCCAAAATATGGTTCTTTAAACGTGACTAAGATCATTAGTTTTATTTTATATAGGCAAAATTTTAGCACAGAGAAAGAAATGATCTGCCCACAGTAGACCATCTGTTTTGATTGTTTTTGTCATGACAATAGTGCCTACACTTGTTCCCGCTGTGATGTACACCTACTGCAAAAGAAAGGCCCCTTCCAAAGAAAGTTTACATTCCATGTAGGCAACGCCAACAAAAGGCATTTTCTCTGTTTTGTTGAGGTGTAAGTGATATGGAGAGGGATGAACACATTTTAACTGCAAACAACTACTGAACATAGCGTGATGGACAATCTATAAGTACTGCTTAAAGTTCAGCAAGCTAAAATCATTGGCATGTCCAGAAGCCTCATATCTACTGAGATTTGTCCCATAGTAAACCTGACACACACATAATTGGTTTCAGAATCACAACCCACAAGGCCAAAATTACACAGCTCTTTGTTATGAGTAGATGATGATACAGGAGCTGATGATCCATGTTGCCCTCTCCCTAATTTTATCACTCGCGAGGAGAGAGTAACAGAATCTGGACAGTGTATGCCAGGCTCTTGCTTCATTACAAGATGAAACACCGTGTGCTTTTTCATTTATCCACATACAACTATACTTCTGAGAGAAACAACTGGATATAAAATGTGCTTTTTAACATACCCTTCCTTTTCTTCCGAAAAATCAAGGCAGACCATTTTGTCATGTCACAGACCATTCCATCATAACATCAGCCAAGTCAAAGGTCAACTTAAGTAAAACTTATTTGTTTACTGACATGAAGGCTTTACACCCTGACACATTGCTAACATAAATAAATAAATTCAGATTGTTAATTACACAAGATTCGGTCTTTTGAGCAGCCAATAAATTTTTGTTGTTAACCAGATTGTAGCAGATAAAAATGCAAGTATTTATATACTTAGCTAATCCTTGGGTTAATCCCAAATTGAAATAGGTTTGTAAAATATGTAGAATCAATTGCCTCCTGCACATGCCTGCTCTCTCCATGGACTATGGGGAGACCCTACATATGCAGTTTAGGTGAATTACTTAATTTTTAGATGGCTGAAGTCGAAGTTATTCCCACACTAATCTATGCATATTTCCAACTGGTCAAGGGAAATCTGTGGAGTTCAAGAGTTTTCAGTGAAATCCAATGTTTCCAGAATAACATTTGCTAGAATTACTGGCTATAAACAGTTGTTAGATTAAATACATTAAATTGGTTTTCATAACCAGTAGCAATAATGGTATATTATTTGACCAGCTTTGCAACTAGACACATTTAGCAAACACCTTTCTTTGTAACAACATTTTCTATTTTTCATCATTATCTAGTTCTTTGTCTTCTTTTCCCAGTAGCTCCTTGCCCATTTTGGTGTTAGTCTTCCTTACGTATAACCCTGGGCAAGATCTTTCTGCCTCAGTTGCTGATTCCTGTACAGCAGCACCAGAGTCATGCTGCCTTTTTTGGCAAACTGTCTGATCTCAGTTTAAACAGTCCAGTAAAGCTTGTTCAGGACACTTCAGTAACTACCTCACTTTTAAAGCTCTTTGCCTTATTTCAGTGTCAAATGTAGACAGATGCAAGAGGGTTATGCCTTGGGAAAACATATTTAAGAAAGGCTAAAAACATCACACAACAGTGTGAGGAGTGAGGGAAAAAAGGTGAGAGTAGCAATGCTGTAGACATCAAGGACAGAAAAGAAGGGGGGAAGGAGGTGCCAGAGTAGAAATTCTCCTGCAGCCCATGGGACAGACCATGGTGGAGTAGGTATTTCCTGTGGAGAACTGGAGTAAATGGAGATGCCCAGAAGTAAACTGCAGCATGTAGAGGACCCATGTTGAAGCAATCTTATCCTGAAGGACTGCAGCTTGTGGGAAAGAACCACACTGGAGAAAGGAAAGAGCATGAGGAAGGAGAGGCAAAGTGGTGTGAACTGACCACAACCCCCATTCCTTATCCCCCTGCAGTACTTGGGGGAAAGGGGGAGGTAGAAGAGTCAGGAGTGAAGCTGAGCCCGGGAAGAAGGGGAGGTAGGGGGAAAAGGTCTTTTTGGTTTTGTTTTCATTTCTCACTATGCTACGCTGTTATTAATTGGCAATAAATAAAGCTTTTTTGCCCATGAAAATAACTGGTAAGTGATGTCCCTGGCTTTATGTCAACCACAAGTTTTCACTATATATTCTCCCTCTGTTGTGCTGATGAGGGGGAGTGAGAGAGCAGCTGGGTGGGTGTCTGGCAGCCATCCAAGGTCAACCCACTACATGCACTCTCTGAGATACCGGATCACCAAATCCAGTGAGTTCACATACTGAGTCCCTGAGAGAGGTGCTTCTGCAAAGCACAGAAAGGGACAACGCTGGAACTTCTTCTTCACTCTCACTTCACTGCTTAGAAAGTTAAGTGCTACTCAACAGCTTTTTCTTCAATTTCAATATAAAACCCAAATGTTTATCATTCACTTGTTCTTTAAATGGAGCGTGGCTCCAGGTATGCAATGTACAATTGAGTCCAAAGGAAGAGAGAGATCCTTCTACATGTTAGATCTTGGTATCCATTAAAATTAGAAAGATGAACTACTGAAGTTTTTCTGTTTCTTATGCACTTTAATGTAGTTGATAATCTCATAATTTATTATTAATATTTTTCTACTTGACAGTGCTCATACAAGTTATCTATATACTTTTCAGTAGCAGGAGCTGTGGTCATGTGACTAAGTTGTCATGAAGCAAACTGAGATGCAAACTTACAGTGTGCATGAAAAGTGGTAAACATCGATTTGCATTTATTATACAGGACCTAACGCAGTCTAAGTTCACACCCTAGCTCTTTTAGCTATTTCATAAATATTACCTATACCTTCCACTTACTGTATTTGCTTCTTCCATTTCATTAGTTGCTTAGAAAAAAGTATGCACAAACCTCTATGTGATGGACAGAGGAAGAGTGTGAGAGACCTACTGCTCATTCTTACCTGTTTTTCTCATGAATTTTCAGGATTTCATGTGTCTGTTGTAGCAGCTGTTTTTCTAGCTTGTACGTTGACAGTGAATTTTCCAGTAGCTGAATTTCAAGTCTGGATGTTTGATTTAGCACCTTAAGGATAAATTAAAAACATTAATGTTTCTATTGTCCTGGATGTGTTGTTATAGCAACATAATGTAACCATTTCATTCTGATTTGATGATTAGTCAAAAATTGTTTCTCAATCCTTTTTTAACCTCAGCTGCTCAGCTGGTGCAAATGAACTCAATCAAGCTACACTGATATGTGCCAGCTGATATTCCGGCACCCTGTTTACTGTAGAATAATACTGGGCCGGCAGAAAAAAAAAAGTGACTGCCAAATAAGCTTCATTTCAATGGAAAGAAATACTGCATTCCTAAAAAATCAACTAAATTAATTAATATTATTGCTTTCACTCTTGAAAGCATTCCTACAAAGCATGCATAAACCAGAAGAGTGCAAGAGTACTTGGGCTGAAGCCAAAGTGTTGCATCCACTGTTTTGTAAATAGAACCCCTACTTTAGCTTTCCCCTGAGTTCTCTCTTTTGCAGTGTTGGCAGAAGTCTGGTGTCTGCTTATGTTATCACTACTTGAACTCTTACACAGATTTTTAAGATGAAGACTGTGATCCTAAACATTGCTTTATGTGATTGCCTTTCACTTTAGTGGTGGTCTGTTATCAGTAGCACAAGTTTTACTAAGTAAATCGGACTGAAAGAAACCCAGATGAAAGAGAACAGATTCTAACAAAAATAATTCAAAAGTGGAAATAACAGAATGCTTTCAAGAATGAAAGCAACACACAGCAGCTGAGGTGCCATTGCTTCTGCAGCAGAAAATGATCCCTCTTTAATGGAACCTATCAGACTTTTCTGAAGGGCATTTATCAGTATCATCACAGGATTATATAGTAAGATTTTCTCATGAGTGCTTGATAGGAATTTGTTACAGAACATAAATCACAAAGAATCACTCTCAAACTCAATCCAGTGTCTTATTTTTGTTTGAAATTGTTGACATTCACAGACCAACTTGAGTTGTCCTTTTCTAAGGGTACAGAGGTTGAGAAAATTGGAAACAATCAGTACACAGCTCTTGTGTTGTTTAAGATGGATACATTTGGAAGTGCCAGGAGGCATCACCAGTTTCAGAGGGACCTGGCAGAAATTGAAGGTGTATCATCACGGTTGGCAAGGGGTAAGAGGACAGGAAAGCGCCAAGAGATTTCCGAAGAGGATACATCTATGGAGCAGACTACAAAACATCAGTAGAGCTTCAGGTAGAGAAGAAAGCTACAAGGGAGTCAGTGGGATTTTGGTTGAATCAGGGATTGGGACCGGTGAGAGAGATTTTAGGGAGGTGGAGGCTCTATGTTCAGTTCTTCAGACTCCTCCTTACTCTGGTATGAGTACTTCTTATTACAGGCATGAGGCCCTGGCCTGCCTTTCTCCTCCTTGTATCCTACAGACCTCCACCTCTCTGCCATGCAGCTGGCTGCCTCCATCACTGCCAAGAGCAGTCGCTTCACTTTCTTCAGCCACCTGCACCACTCTTTTCTGATTAACAGTAGAGCCAGGACTTTCTCACACTGCTGAAAAAGGGGAGGTGGGAAATGCCGTCACTGAGCTGAACGTCAGAGCAAGGACGACAACAAGGAAGAGCCACTCCAACTGACATCTTAAACATCCCTTAAATTCTTCAGCAATATGTGTAGAAGGAGGAAGTCGTCCACTCCTTCATGCAGTTGTCAGTGATACCTCTACCTTGAAGTGCTTCCTCAAAGGAAAAGTGAGGCAGAGGCAATGTACATTTTGTCCCTTGCCTACTTAAAGGAGGAAACTGTGAATGAGTACTCAACATGCACTTAGGTAGGTCTTGTGGGATATGAGAAGAGTTCCTACACCTCCTTTTTATTTACCGAATATATGATACTGCAGTCCATAGGCCTTCACCTCTTATGTTTCTATTTAGATATTATGTTGATACTGAATTGAAGATTTTCCCCAACATTCTCATAAGTCAATATACTCTGTTTTAGAAACTGTGGTCATTTGGATCACAACATTTATGAATAAATGTTGGGCTACTAACTAAGATGTAGAAAAAATGGTTCAGGGAACCTGTGTAAGGCAGCATATCTATCTTTCATAATCACTGCTGTTTCTCAGTGTACTGTAATGTGGTTATGTAATAACTTGGTAATGATATTGTAAACGTAAGGACATTAGAACAGAAAATATGATCTTCCAAGATGTGCATGTGCTACTAGAACAAACAACAGCAAAGCAATACTTTAATTGCCCTGTCCTAAATGAACAGCAAATGCAGTGCAGCTGCTAATATGCCACATGCTACGAAGATCAAGAGGAAGTCAGCAAAAATAAGGAAAAAAAATATGCATCTTAAACTGATAAAAGAATTCAAAAGGCAAAAGTAGTACATATCTTTGCAATAAACCCAGTATGAAATTGTACTCTGTGTTATGATAGTGATACTCTTGTCACTTCAGTCACAAGACTGATTTTAGTGTTAGGATTCAGATGGAGATGGCTTTTTAAATTCATGTGATGTTATACAATTTTACAGTAATAACAAATACACAGTGTTTTATAAAGAAGCTGGTGTTTGTCCCTCTCTTCACAGTTTAAAAGCTGCATACGTACACTATTTTTCAAATAGCTGGAAACATCTTGCAGAAAATAAACAAACTTTCTCATAATAGTAAGGAAGCAAACAACAATGGAGATCAAAGGCTCTGTTTTAGCCTAAAACTCATTATTTAGCTTGACACTTGTATCATTCACAGTTGGTAGCTGAGCTGTTTATTTGAAGTCAAATGCTGATTTAGTTTCCTGGACAGTCCTGTCTGACTTACACACTCACAGCTAAATATACTAACCAAATGAAATCAAAAGCAAGACACACAACAAGGGTCACTCATCACCGCTGTTGGCACTAATAAATAGAGTGTATGTTTCTTGGAGCCCTGTGTTGAAATGTTTTGTGTGGCGATGCATCAGAAAAGAAAGAGGATGGGAAAAGTTCTCTGCAATTAACAGCTTTTAGAAAACCACTCTGGGAACATACCTGGGTTTCAACATCCGTGAGTTTTCTCGTCTGCTCTGCTGTCTGGCTGAGGAGGCTGGTCCCTATCTCGAGCATGGTGGCGGTGTGGTTCTGCACAGCATTCTGCTGCAGCTGCACCATCTCCGATTTCATGTTTTCCACAATGTAGTTCTCAAGCTGTAAAAAGAGAAAAGGTTGTAGCTGTGGTATTTTTACCTGTTTGGGCATTATGGTGACATAAGGGTGCATAGCTGACATTCTTGCCAAAAGTGAAAATTTCAGCTTTTCCAAGGGGAACCCAAGTCTCGGATGACCTTGTGACTGTTGGGGTAGGGACCTGACAAGCTGGATAGCCCCTTTCCTGTCACAGAGTCAGGCAGGTTCATTCCTTTCTAGCTACCTAGGTCCTTACCCTGCCACAACAGACCATAAACCCAGAACTAATCTACAATATGATGAGATTGCTTCTTACTTATACAAGCATTGTTCTGGCATCTTGCTTGATGTGCTCCATAAAGTATTAACATAAAGAAAGGTGGCCCAGAACATTGTTTTCAATACCTTCCACTGAAATCAGCTGGAGTCCAGCCAACTTACACTCAGTGAAGATTTGGTCCCCAGTTTCATTTTGTGGCTGATCGTGTTTTTTATGGTTAGCTGATTCCAGACTCAAGCAATCACTGTTTTACCTAATAATTTTAATCACATTGGACCTGCTTCTGCAGCAGCAAGCATGTTTCATTGTGAAAGGTAAACTGCACAACTAAATGGTAAGAACCAGATGGAGTTGATTTAGAGACTGAAGAAAGGAGAAGGAGTCAGATACGCAGTGCAATTTAATAAGAAGGGCTGCTTTCATCTTATCTAGAAGCATACCTGTGCTTAGGGGTAACTGCTGTTAGACATTCTGATGAGCCACATCAGCTAAGCTCACAAAAGATTTATTACAGATTTTATCATTTCTGTGCACCTCCTACTAGTCTTAAAGACGTTTTTACAGGGAAAGAACACTGCCACAACGTAAAACATTTTCTGCACAAGACAGTTGTTGTTTGTTTGTTTGTTTACCCCAGTTTGGAGAAGCACTTAATACCCATCATGGTCAAAACCAAAGTGTATGTCCTACAGTTTCAGACAATAAAAAAGTTTGCTTGAATTGCCAGGGAACAACCCTGGGCTCGAAACCTGCAGAGTGTTTTAAGTGGTGGGGAAAATTTATTGTTGAACACTCTGATAAGTATTAAAATGAGCTACAGCAGGTTTTGACCAGTGAGAGCACAGGCATAGATTGAGGCATATTGGATAACTCATACTTTTAATTATTGTAGTCTAACACACTCCCCATGGTATCGAGTCCTGGGCAATTGCCCTTGGTTACTCACCCCTAAAACAACCTCTGGTTGAGTCTGAGACTGAGTCATTATAACAACAAAGCTGATTTTCCTGTTTCAGACTTACTCATTAAATGCTTCTGTAAATATTTGGTGTTCAGTACACTGCCACAATAATTTCTGTGAGCACATCTCAGGACTATTGGGAGATATTCATTCAGGCAGAGGAGGGTAGAAGAAGAACTGAAATAAAGTAGAGGTTCTGTGTTCTGTTACGTTAATTCCCCTCCCTTCCTTCACCCACTTCTTTCAGTTTGCTCAGTAGATTTATTGGTTGCAATACTGGCCCTGCTAAAATCAATGGCAAAATTCCCATTTACTTCAATAGTCCAAGATTTCACCTATTATTTTTATTGCAGGAAACCAACATTTACCAGGTTCATTATGGCCAAGCACTGAGCTTCATCTGAAGCCTTCCGTTCTTTGGAGGCTTTGTATTAAGTGTACTGAACCTTAGACTGAGCTTTCTTTGTAGTTAGTTAAGAGGAATAGCGTCTATTTAACAGGTGATAAAAGGATCCTTGCAGGGTGGCCCTACAGAAAATGTGACATGCAGAAACCTATTCACAGAAGTAAATTCAAGAACATTTAAGGGATTAAGTCATTTTTTTAGAACCCCTTCATCCTATAATGAAGTTAAATTCAATTTCCCAGGATACTCTGCATTAAACAGTAAATATATAATGCAAGATGAAATACTCTTTTCAGGTGAATCTACTTTTTACATTTGAATTTTCAAATCCCTATATTACTGTTTATTCTTATTACAGTTACTTTTTGTTGCAAAAGTGAATCAGAAGTCTTTTCTGCATTCTTTTCCCCCCAACCCACCCCTCCCACTATCTGACTTTCTATAGTGCATCGATGTCCCTGTTATTAATTCAGCTGCATCTGCTTTCAGTAAGATTCATTACATTGCACAGGAGTTTTCAGTAATGCAGAATTACTGGTGGAATGCATAATAACGTTATAACATTCTCAGAAATAAAACTGTCAGAAGGTTCAGTGTTATTGTTTAATAAACATTCCAGAGAATTATGCATTTATAGTATCTAGTTTTTGTTTTTTTTTTCTGGACAATGTTTATTGAATAATCTTCATAGAAACCACCCAAACACTAATAGAACTATTAAAATGGAAACTGTAACTTAGGGCCTAAGTAAACGATAATGGTTTGTGGCAGATGGCTTATAAATAAAATAAGAGCTTTTTCTCTTACTTTGATCAAGTAATGGTGGTCTCATGTAATGATATGGTAAGGACTGCTATGATATCCAGATGACATTAGGTTTTCATACAGTGCCTTAGAATAGGAATGCAAGTTAAAGTAATAATAGAGTAGTCTCCCTGTCCTACTATTAACCATATATTGCACGTTATTTGGAATAATAGAAAGACAATTCCCCAGTGATATTTTGTAAGAGCTGTTTTGTCTTGTCTTGCTTTGCATACCTGAAGATGTAATAGTAATACTGTACCACAACAACTAATGGAAGTTCAGTTCTTCTTTCTTTGTTTTTCTGTCTGAGACAGAGTCATACCTCCCCACGCCGACAAATTGCCTCAAGGAGTCAGATATAAAAGTGACAGTTGATGAAATTTGTATTTTATAAATACACAAACAGCCAAAGTGGGAATAAGCTGGAAGAAGTTGAAAGATAGAGAATACCAGTTTGACTTTTGCAGAAGCCAAAGGGGTTAGCAAGGAGATTATCACCAAGAAAGGTGATTTTCTTTCTCTACTGAAAAGGCCAATATATCTTCTATGAATTATTTCTCAGTGAGAAAAGATTGATAAAACAGCAAATTTGCAAAGATACCGTCTTCTCGTATTACAGATCCAAGGAGTAGAGACCAACCAGAATATATTGTTCCACTATTTCTGACTGTATGTGGTCAGTGGGAATCAGCAAAAATGAACATGGATGTCACATAAAGGGAGCGAATAATGCTTAAATGTTAACATGTTAATCTGCACCTGATTTGGAACAACTTTACCTGGGCTTTAAGCATGACAAGGAAAGCACTCATCAGCCAGAAAAAAAATTGTAGATATACCATCAAAGAGACAATGAAGATGACTACTTTTCCAAATCTATAATCTTCAATTAGACCTAATAGGATTACAATATAGATTGCACCAAAGGAGACCAGAAGTTATTTGTTTGAGGAAGAAACTTCCTCAGGTCTTGGGTAACTGATCATCTAAATTAAGAACATACCGGATGCATAATGATAATTTCAGTGAATTTATGAAATCATCCTTGCTGAGCTAAAGTGAGAGCTTTAAACAACTCATAGACAAATTGGACTCACAGAAAGGCCTGTTGGGATATGTAGTATATGAAGCTTTTACAAAGAAATCATTGGTTATGAAACATATAGAAATATTTGTGGATTTCAATCTTAAAAGGAACCAGAAAAGTAATCCAGCAACTCTATAAGTAACCTAACAACATTTTTTTGAGGAAAGCTGGCTGTAGAAACTCTGTTGTATCTTTTTTTTTTTTTCTTTTTATACAATATACCCAGGCTTCTAGCCTTAAGGCAGCAAGAAAATAAGAGTTAATTTTTCAGTTGCACCTTAATGATAGTAATTATTTGCATACTACTTATGCAATTCATTATTCTGTACTTATTTCTGCAGTTTCATAGATTTCTGTAATTTTGCAACTCATCATTTTTAATTTCTGACTTAGATTTTTTTACATCTTATCCTTCAATCACAATATTGTGGTTTTCCAAACTCTATTCCTGACAGAGAAACAAACAATCACTTGCAGAGTGTGTATAGACTCCTAAACTACCTCATGCTGAAATGAATATATGTGTTTGTGAACTGGAACATTTGGCTATTTTTTCCAAACCAAATGTTCCAAACAGACCAAAGATACTTTTCCTTAAATTCTTGAATCCTTGAATGCCTGAATCTTTCACGTTTCATATGCTTACTGTCTGACTATTAAGAATAATTTATAGACACAAATTGCCATCAGGAAAAAATGGTGGTTCATTATGTATGTTTAATTTATAGCCTGCATAAGACATATATATATAAACAGTGAAGATATCCTCGTATGTATGGAGCTCACAGATACAAGTAACCACTAGTTTCTTTAGCATGTGGCCAGTGAAACCACAGCTGTGTTTTCAGCACACAGCGGCCAACACTGTTCGATTCAGCTGCAGCTGACTGATGCTGAGATTTCTAGTCCAGGTGACTTCCAATATACTAATGACACTTGTCCTCATGGCATTTGAGCTTGATTTTATAGTAACCCTCAATTAAATAAAATCTTGATATGAATGTAGAAAAATCATTTAGCTTGTTAAAAAAAAAAAAAAAAAAGTTTTCCTCTTCAGTTAAACAAAAAGATGACCAGACAGCTTTTTGTCGGAAGAAATCAGGGATAAAACATGCAAGAGATCATTCCAAAGACACATAAAGTAATACTTCTGCTGCATTCAGCATCAGTAGAGTGTCTGCAAGAGTTTTGTCTCTGGTTCTGAATGCTGCAGTTCAAGAAAGGTGTACATTATTTTGGGAGACTGCACAGAAGACAAAGAATGGCCATAAATCTAGAAAATTGAAAGACTTAAGAAAGTTTAGCTTAATAAGAAGGCTAACAAGAAAATAACTGACTAGAGGGACATAAAACTGCAACGAGAAAGAGAATAAGCTATTTTCCACACCCATGAAGTTGCTGTAAGTGAAGTTTAACTTTTTCATGTTAGGGGAAAAGTTTTCTAACAGTACAGGTAATAAAATACTGATAAGGGATTCTG